CTGTTTATAGAATACTGAATTTTCTTCATTTATCATATTTTTTATGAGTATTCATACATCTCACTGCTTAAATGTCAATGTGTTTGCTAGACTCTGTGAGGGTGTTACTGATCTGCACACCTCATCCTCTTTCTGAATTCTCAAAATTATCTGTGCATATGTGATACTAACATCAGTAAGAGCCAACATTTGTTGAGGGCTGGAGTTCCTGGGTATGTGTTTTTTTTTGTTTGTTTGTTTTTTTGTTTTTTTTTCCCCAGCCTTTATCTCATGAGGATGCCCTTCCCAGGACAGGTAAGAATGAGGCCCTGTCCCAGGTCAACCTGGATGGCTGGATACTCCACCCTCTGGCCAAATTGCACCAAGTGGGTAAAATTTCATTTAGTTCCATCCACAGTTTTCCTTAGAGGAAACAGACTGAACATAGGGCTAAAAAAATAGGAAGAGCCCTTGGCGAGCATGTGTGTACATGTACAGCAGTCATTTCAGATAACTGAAATCTGCCCGTGAAGTCTTCTGTCAGGAAATCTTGTACTCTGTGTGGTCTCCCAGTGCAATCACACAGAGCCTGGGTCTACCCACACAATTCTGGGGTATTACTTGCTTTAAGAGTCCTATTTTGAAATGTGATCATGACACACAGTTGGTACTGTCATAAAATGTTCTTCACAGGTGCCAAGTGGGAGACACATTGCAGGAGATGAAGTCACAGAGTTCTGTGCGGCAGCCCTCTCAATATTACTCTGCTGGCAGCTCTTCCTGTCCTTAGGAAGCTTCTGGTTAATTTTTGGCAGGATAGAAAGATGCCTGAAAGCAGCTTTTTAAGGGAAGTCTTGCTTACCTTGTTTTCGTGATCTCCATTTTTCTCCCTGAGAGGAGTCCAAATGGAGACCTTACCATGACTAGCAACTGACTTGGGTGAACATTAAGGAGGCAAGGTGGCTAGGTGACACCAGTTGGCCTCAAAGCTGAAACAGGTAGCACAGGGCCTGGCTTGTAGCAAGTGCATGGCCCAGGGTCTCTTCATGGTGCTTATTGTGGTGACACATTCTATTGTTTCCTTCTTTACCAAATCTGTGTAGAGCACAGGGGATAAGTGAGGTGGCTTTTCACTAGCTGGGACTGGGTTTGAGTCCTGCTTTTGTCACTTACTAGCTGTGTGACCTTATACAACTTACGTTCACGTTCTCATCATGTAACATGAGGATGGTAGAACCCACATCCCAGCATCGTGGGGCCATAAAGTCCTTTAGACAGTGGTGCTCGGAGTTTACTCACTCAGACTTGGTAGCTAACAGTAATAACTTAGAACTAATCTGGACCCTGCATTATAAAATGCGCTTTTCCCCTGTGTAAATTGGGGTTTTCTGACAGAGTATGATCTGGAAATTCTCTTGTCTGTCCACCCCTGCTGTCAGCCTTGTGACCTCCCATGTCCCCTGGTTACCTACGAGAACATATCATGGTTACCCTTACAGCACAGGGACTAGTAGCCCAGACCGGTGCCCTGGCTTGTGGTAGTGTTGCATAGTGGTTAAGTGACATGTTGATTATTACTTGTGGAGGTCTGTCTTGCAGACTTAACTTAGTGGTGGATGAATAAATGCACTCAAACACACAGAGTAAGATGATTGAGTGGGTTAGGGAGGTCGTCAGCTGCTCTGAGAGGGCGATTGCAGCTAACTGACTTTTTTTTTTTTTAGAATTTATTAAATTAAGCAGTAATCTCAATGTTTATCTTTATAACATTCTGCCCCACAGCAGATTCTACATACATCTGAATTTTCAGTTGATTTCACCTTGCAATAGGAAAACGTTCCATTTAAAAATTGTAACTAGGCTGGGCGCGGTGGCTCAAGCCTGTAATCCCAGCACTTTGGGAGGCCGAGGCGGGTGGATCACGAGGTCGAGAGATCGAGACCATCCTGGTCAACATGGTGAAACCCCGTCTCTACTAAAAAAAAAAAAAAAAAAAATTAGCTGGGCATGGTGGCGCATGCCTGTAATCCCAACTACTCAGGAGGCTGAGGCAGGAGAATTGCCTGAACCCAGGAGGCGGAGGTTGTGTTGAGCCGAGATCGCGCCATTGCACTCCAGCCTGGGTAACAGGAGCGAAACTCCGTCTCAAAAAAAAAAAAAAAAAAAAAAAAAAAAATGTAACTAACTAGGGAGGCTGAGGTAGATGGCTTGAGCCCGGGAAATTGAGGCTGCAGTGAGCTTAGATTGTGCCACTGCACTCCCTGCACTCCATCCTGGGCAATGGAAGACCCTGACTCTAAATAAATAAAGTATAGATATGTATATATTTATAACAAAAATGAACTTAAATGATTCAAGCTCCATCTTAGTCACAATTCAGGAAAATTATCTGAAAATTAACTGACTTTTTATTAGTTGTTTCTCCTCACCTTTATTGTGTATAGATTTAGTAACAGAGGTTCTAAGTCAGCGTGCTTGTGGATAATTAACATGGTTAAAAGAGTGGTTTTACGAATGATAAAAGCTTTTGGTTTGGAGCTTAGAACAAACACTGCTGAGCGCCTGCTGTGATGATGATCATGTCAGGTCTCCTCACACCGAAGCACTAGCTGTGGAGTTGGTTACATGGGGATCACTACCTGAGATGTTGATTATTACTTGCAGAGGTCTGTCCTGCAGACTTTGACTCAGCAGCGTATGAATAAATACTCTTAAACACACAGAGTACAGTGATTGAGTGAGCTAGGGAGGTCGTCAGCTTCTCTTAGAGGGTGATTGCAGCTAACTGACTTTTTATTAGCTGTTTCTCCTCACATTTATTCTATATAAATTTAATAGCAGGTTCTAAGTCAACATGCTGTGGATAATTAACATGATTAAAAGAGTGGTTTTACGAATGATAAAAGCTTTTGGTTTGGGAGCTTAGAACAAAAGTATTAACAGGTAATCTTTCAACCTCCTCTCAGAAGGCTGTCTAGCACAAAGTTTGCATGAGTAAACAGAGTAGAGACAAAAGAATGTGAGGTAAACAGACTTAACTGGGGAAGCTTCTATTATCTTTAATCTTCACTTTATGACTTAATGCTTTAAGGTGAAGAATAGCTACCTTCAGCCTGTCCTATTTAAACTTTTCAGCCTTCTAAACAGCTTGAAACTATAATCTTAGAACTTTCCTTAATATTTCCTTTAATATTTGGTAACTACCTCAAGTGAATCTTAACAGTTAAGAAGCCAGGGGCTAAGTTCCAGCTCTGCTGGCTATGAGACCTTGGGCCAGTGATGACCCTCTCCCAGCCTCAGTTTGTACATTGGTACTCTGGAGAGAAAAATAGTGCATGGTCCCTTGGGCAGCAGTAAGGATTCAATAAGTTGAAAAGTCTGGGATGAATTTGATCCACAAAGATGTTGTAGGAAAAAAGAGACAAAACATTCTTGGTGTTGGGGTGTTTTGTGTGACTTTGGGCCCCGCTATGGACTGACGGTGGTATGATGTCAGTCTGCTATTGCAGCCCAATGAGAACTTAATTTTTTTTTTTTTTTTTTTTTTTTTTTTTTTTTTTTTTTTAGACAGTGCCTCACTTGGTCACTCAGGTTGGAGTGCAGTGGTGCGATCTTGGCTCACTGTAACCTCTGCCTCCCAGGTTCAAGCGATTCTTCCTTCTCAGTCTCCCAGGTATAGCTGGGATTACCAATGTACACCACTACACCTCAATAATGTTTGTATTTTTAGCAGAGACAGGGTTTCACCATGTTGGCCAGGCTGGTCTCAAAAGAGAACTTATTCTTTAAGCAGCTCATTGTCGATGTTGAAAACAAGTTACATTGCATGATAGTAGCCATAGATGGGGTCCTCATGAAAATGCTCACAGAGACCTGGAGTCTAGCCAGATGCATCACCTGAGTGCAGGCTGAAAACCCCACATGCCATAGGCTGTGGTGTCAGAACTGAAAATATTTCACTGGCCTTTTGCATCTCTCTGAAGTTCACAAACCATGACATGAGCCATGTGGGGCTCAGGAGAGCCAACAATTGCTGCAACTTTGCCCCAGCTGGGCTGGAGGTGAATCAGACTGAGAAGGCTGGGACTGGAACTCCTCCATAAGCTTACCTCTGGCCAGGCAGGCAGAACCTGCTTCCCAAAGCCCCAGTTGATTGCGTACCTACTGGAGGCTGGGAATGGGTCCCTCCACTGGCTGTTCGTGGGATTCACATTTCCTGATGGGGTCCAGGGAAGTTTAGCAGTGGCTCAGGGTCACACAGGAGCCAGGGTTTAAATCAGGTCTGTCTGATTGTAGAGTTGATACTCTTTTTTTTTTTTTTTTTTTTTTTTTTTTTTTTGATACAGAGTTTTGCTCTTGTTGCCCAGGCTGGAGTGCAATGGGGAGATCTTGGCTCACTGCAACCTCCACCTCCTGGGTTCAAGCAATTCTCCTGCCTCAGCCTCCTAAGTAGCTGGAATTACAGGTGCCCACCACCATGCCCAGCTAATTTTTTTGTATTTAGTAGAGATGGGGTTTCACCTTGTTGGTCAGGCTGGTCTAGAACTCCTGATTTCAGGTGATCTGCCCACCTCAGCTTCCCAAAGTGTTGGGATTATAGGTGTAAGCCACCGTGCCCACAGAGTTTATACTTTTTAGACTGCTGTATCATGTGACTGCTTAAACAACATCAGTCAGAAAGTTGGGACCAGGTAGCCAGCTGGGGGCAAGCTGATGGTTTCTGCATTGGGATACAAAGTAAAGGTTAAGACTAGGGGCCTCAAGGCTTTGCTTCTGCCCAGGATTTAATGGCAACGCTTAGGCTCCAAGATTCAGTGGAAGGAAATTCCAGCTGTGGGCTCTGAGGACTTTGGAAAACTGTGTTTCATTTGTGAATACACTTGCTCTTTAGCAAGAATCTCTGCTGATAAGCCTTTCTCCTGTGTTTTTATTGGTCCCTTAGAGAGTGGTAGGGAAGTTCCCCATTTTGATAGACTTTTTAATGATGTTACAAAAATATCAATTCACGCTAATTCCACAAGGGGTGAGTGACAGCTGCTGCTTCCCAAATGCCACATTTCTTCAAATAAAAAGCAGAAGATAGCATGCAGTACCTAAGGAACTTATGTCTCAGTAAAGACAAAATTGAAATAATTAGTCTCATGTCATAAAAAGAGGACTGATTTTCCTCACCCAGACAGCAAGTTTGCTCTTCTCGCTATACTTGTTTGGCATAAACTACTGACTTCCTGTGAGCACTGATCTGAAGAGGGCCATGAAGAGCCTCCTACACTTCTGTTTGTTGCCTTGAAGGTGTCATATTTCAGGCTGTGTTTAGCTGTTCCTTTTGTTGATGTGTCCATTCATGCCTGAGGTATGTCTCATAACACACCTGTGAGAGGGGGCCTTGGAGGAATGTCACCAAAGGCTGAGGAGCAATGTCTTTGCAGTGTTTCCTAGTCCATCTTGTCCTCTGGCTTTTACTTCAGAAGGGACACTCCTGTCTTGCTGGCAAGAGGGAATGGGCTCTGCCTTGGATTTCAGCTGCGGACTCTGCTTTGCAAGATATTTGCTTGTCAGAACCTGAGACTACAGGTGTTCAGGCTCTGGTCTGTATGACCATGGGACAGGTCCCAGGTATATGACTGACAGGCCAAAGGGACCAGAAGCTCTTCCGCTTACCCAAGCCTAGATTGGGAAACCTTCAACTGTGAGAGCACTCCTTTATTCCCAAACAGCCATCATTGTTTCCCTTCCCTAGACTCTTTGTAAAGACATCTGGGGGAGTAAGCAAAAATCCTTTCTAGATCAAACAGAAACACCAAAAACCAGGAGAAAAGGGGATAACCAATGTACCCACTCCATTCAGATGAATGCAATCCAAACGGAAAAAGAGCCAGTCATGCCTCACTCACTCAGTGACAGTGCAATGCAATACTTCCAAAGATCTAATTAGGCACTTCTGTTTTTCTTATTTTGTTTCAAGCTTATGCTTTACAAAGTAAGGGGCTGTTGTTGTTGTTGTGTGTGTGTGTTTTGTTTTGTTTTGAGGAAATGAATCGCCTTTAAAGTAGAGGGGGTAAAACACCAGAGCTTAGTGACCCCTGGTGGAGGCTTTTATAATTCCTCTACTTTCTGGCTCTGACAGCACTAACTACTAGGGTTACCTGCTCCAAGCCTGTTCTGTCGGCCCACCCCGAGGTGAAGTGGCTGAATCACTGCCTGACATGACAGGAAAGTCTGAACTTGGGGGAAAAAAATGAGAGAGGAGAAGAGAAGGAAGAAGGAACAGGGAAGAGGGTGGGGCAAGAACTGGAAAGAAGAGGAAGGAAGGGAAAGATGGTTCAGAGGATGATGCAAGATGTCCGCTAGCATATGGGACTGGGACTAACTTCTTCCATAATGAGAGAATATCTCTGCTTATAAAGTTCCTGACATAGTGTATGACCCAGGGTAGGAGCCCAGCAAATGTCAAGGCTTCTGTGATGCCCAGCCCTTGGCTGCCCCCTCGTACTCCATGGGGCTTCATTTCTACTTCCTGGGAAGTAAAACAGAAGCAGATTCTGGTTGTGTTGAAATTACCTTTCACTCCTCTGGAACCCTAGGGAACCTAGGGCTGCTACTGCTGCACCTTAATCCTCAGGGCAGCCCAAACCTGGCTATAGAGCTAGATGCCTATGGATGACCATCTGTACTCTCCAGACAGCTTGAGGGCAGAGTTCTAGCATGCTTCCTCATGCATCTTGAGATAGTCTCTTCTGGGAACAGTGCCCTCCGTGCCCAGCACATTTGGTGACATTCACAGCCCACGTTAGGCTCCTGCTTAGAATACCATTTCACATGCCCACAGGTTCCAGGGCACTGCTTGTGACTCTGTAGGGGAGAGAGCCCTTAGTGGCATTGGGCTGAGGACAGCCTAGGACACTCTCCTTTCTCATCCAGGTAATTCTCATCATGGTTCTCATCCCAAGTCCTTGAAACCCCACGAAGGTACTAGCCCTGGGGATACAGCAGTAAATGGACAGGACAGAGCCTGCCCTTGAGGAGTGCCCATCCAAGGATCCCTGGACCTGGAAATGAGAAACAAATCTTGATTTCTCCCCTGAATCCTCATCCTACCAATGTGTGGGAATATATACCAATTTGCCAATGTGCTTTGTCCCCTCCTCCTGGAGTTGGGCTCAAAGGTGGAGGTAGAGTAGAAGCCTAGGAGCAAGGGGACTCCCTTTGTTGCATGGTACCCTAAAAGGTCTAGAGTCCTAGAACTCCCCTCATACCAAATCCACATGTCTTAGCTGCAGAAGTGTCTGGGGCAGTCCCCTGAGCTTCCTGTGACACTAAAGTGACATGGGAAAGCAGCTGAATTTTCCTGTGCCTCCAAGGAGATAAGAGAGGGAGGGAGAGAGAGAGGGGGGAAGAGAAAGAAGGAGGGAAGGAGTGAAAGAGAAGGAGAGGGAAAGGGGGAGAGAACAAGTGAGAGAGAGAGCATGCCTTCAAAAAATGTCACAATAGAAAGTGGCATGGACTGTGCAGCTAGGAACCAGGTTAGAATGACGACACCACATTGGAAGACAGCATGAAGGTATGCCATCTCTGAGGGCTGGATGAGATCGTACATTGGAGTGGATGGTAGCATGGACAAGTTGCCAATGACAATGGCCAGATTCTCTTTTCTTTCACTCCCGCTCTCTCTCTTTCTCCCTCTCTGTCTCTCCCCCTGAATTTTAGAACCTCACAGAATTTAGGCTATAGGCTGTGGCAAAGGAGACAATCCTGAATTGCATGGTATCAATAATTAATAATTAGTAAGACAATCCTGAAGTAACTGGGAAAATGTGGAATTGACTAGATTAAATTTTCTGTTATGTGTTCGAATTGAGACTCAAGATAGGGCTCTTTTGTGGTAGATGCAATTCTAGGTGGCCCCCCAAGTTTCCTGCCCCCTATTGCATGTGACCCCTTGTGTATGGGTAGAATGTACTACGATCAGCCCTCCTTATCCACGTCTTCCACATCTGTGGATTCAGCCAACTGGTGAATTTGAAAAAGATGGATGGTTGCCTCTGCAGTGAACATGTACAGACTTTTTTTTTACTTGTCATTATTTCATAAATAATACAGGATAACAACTGTTTACATGGCACTTACATTGCATTAGGAATTATAAGTAATCTAGAGATAATGTAAAGTATATGGAAGGATGAATGTATATTATATGTAAATACTACACCATCTGATATACAGGACTTGAGCACCTGTGGATTGTGCTATCCATAATCCCAAGCTTTAAGTGAGAATGCAGTCCTTCACTGCAGCCTTTTGAGACCCTGAACATAAGACCCAGCTTAGCTGTGCCTGGACTTCTGACCCACAGAAACTAGGAGGTGATAAATGAGTGGTAACAAGTAATGAGTGATAAGCTTGTAGTCTTTTGTTATATAACATTGATTATGTAACTTATCCCTCATTCACTGAAGACTCAGGTACCAGGTGCACAGGCTGCCTTGGTACCCTGTGTCCTGTCGTCATTCTGGGGGACTGCAGAGCCTGTGCCATTCGCAGACTCTTGACTTCTTCCTCATCTTTAACCTCTAGCAATCTCTTCCTCCCCACCTCAGCCTCCCACCTTCAAGGCCACATCCTTGACCTTTAAATCACCAGGATCTGTTTTACATCAGAAATCTCAAATTTTAGGATCCCATTCTGGGACTAAAACCAGTTCTCTCACACCTGTACTGCCTCTCTACCTACTTACCCATCTCCTAGAGCTTTGTCTTCAGTCCACCAGTCTTCTTAACCACTGTCAGCCACCTGAACTGCTCTCTCACTGGCTCTCTCCACTTGCTCCCACACTAGTCCTTCTACTGCTGTGAGCCCCAGCAAAACATCGAGCTTACACCAGAGTGAACAAACAACAAACACACACACAATTGTGCCAAATGGCATATGTAATTTTCTATCCCAGACGGGCTTCTCTGTAGCCCATCGATCTTGTTAAATTTTGAATTGTTTATAGGTAGTGTTCGTTTTCTAGGGCTACTGTAACAAAGTACTTCAAACTATGTGGCTTAGAGCAACAGTACAGTTCTGGAGACCAGAGTCTTAAATCAAGGTGCCAGCAGGGCCATGCATCTGCTGAAACCTACAGAAGAAGAATGCTTCCTTGCCTATTCCTAACTTCTTGTGGTTTGCTGGCAATCATTGGCACACACTGGCTTGTAGATGCATCACTTCAATCCTCTGTCTTCATATGGTTGTCTACCCTCTGTGTGTTTGTATCTGTGTCCAAATTTTTTCTTTTGATAAGGACACCAGTCATATTGGATTAGGGCCCAACTCAATTAGCTCATTTTAACTTGATTACCCTGGGAGAGACCCTGTTTCCAAATAAGATCACATTCTGAGGTATGGGGTGTTAGGACTCCAACATATAATTTTTTAGGGAGGACACTATCTAACACATAACAAGTCAAAAAAGACCAAAAAACATGTAATACAAAGCAAAGGCCCTCTGCCCTATACTTTCCCTCTTCTGTTCTCATTTTAAATGTTTCTACTTTCATTTCTTCTGGTAGATTTTCCCTGTCTCTCTAAATACTGTGGTATTTCTATACTAACTTTCTAATGTCATTTTCAACTTTAGACATTGCTGACTTCTTCCTATGATAGATGAGATCACTTATCCCTTCCTCTTTCTATGTGCATACACATTTTTAACCTTGAATTTTGGAAATAAACCCCAGGTGCTCATCAATGAACTTCATTGGTAATCAACTCATGGAAAATTTTGTTTCATCTCTCCCTACCATTTTCCCTTCTCCTTTTTTTTTTTTTTTTTTTAGACAGATTTTCACTCTATCGCCCAGGCTGGTCTCGACTCACAGCAACCTCCACCTCCTGGGTTCAAGCGAGCAATTCTTTTGCCTCAGCAGATTAGCTGGGACTACAGGTGCACACCACCACGGCCAGCTGATTTTTGTATTTTTTTTTTTAGTAGAGACAGGTTTCACTATATTGGCCAGGCTGGTCTCGAACTTCTGACTTCATGATCCTCCCACCTTGGCCTCCCAAAGTGCTGGGATTACAGGTGTGAGCTGCCGCACCTGGCACCCCCCTTCTCCTTTTAATATGTAGATTTATTGCTATTTTTAAGTTTTCTATTGGTTACTTTCGTATCTTTAATATCCATAAATCTGTATTTCTCCTTCTATGAACTGAAGACAACAACTATTGATACAATTTTTTTTACTTTGTGATCAGGATATTAATGTGTCTACACTTCCTACCATCTCCCTTCCTCCTTCCAGCTTTCTGTCAAGTGTTGTTCCAGGTCAGGTTCCCAAGGAAGCCGACTAAGATGGAGAGTAATGTACAGGAAGTTTCTTAGGGAGTACTCTTAGGATTAACACCTGTGGAAGGGGAGGATCGGGGAGGGGAGGAAAGAAATCAGAATTCAGCAAATGGAGAAAGTAGGCAGTCTCAAAAAAAGGCTTCAGCTAACCCCACAGGGAGCTCTGAGGCTGGTGTGGCCTTTCAGAGATGTCCCAAGTTGGGGTAAGAAGCTGGACCTCTATACTTTCAAGTTGAATCATTGATGTGGGCTTCCTGAGAACAGGGGTGACCTTCGTTGAGGGGCCTATCTTTTTCTAAAACAATTTCTGAGGAGGGATAACGACAGCTAACAGCTCTCCAGCCAGCTAGGGAAACAGAATTTTTGGTCTTGAAGGGAGATCTGAGCAGTGCATTACAGCACCATCACGTCTGTATTTGTACCTTCCCATTGCCCACTGTTGTTTAGTCATAATTAAGTCATCTGGACTTTGTTATAGATTGATTCTCGAAGCTGAAAATCTGTGTTTGCAGTATTAGGATGGTATAATAGTATTCAATACAGTACAGTGTAGGGCTAGGATTCCATCTCCACAATTGCTGCTCTCTCTCTTTGGCGCACCCTTCTTGCAGATCTCAACGCGGCTTGCTCCCTCACTTCCTTCAAAATTTTATTTAAACGTCACTTCACTAGTGAGGCCCCGCCTGGCCACCGCATAGAAAACAAGCATGCCCCCGTACCCACGCTTTATTTTTCTCCAGATCGCGTATGCCCACCGACATTCTATATGCTATTTTTTTTATTTATTGTTTTAAGCTCCACCAAGGCAGGGACATACAGCCCCAGTGCCACCAACAGCGCCTGTTATACATATTTGTGATGCTTAATAAGAATTAGTTGAAGAAATGAATAGGAAAGAGAGTCCTTTTAGATGGAGGAAGAGACTTTCTCAAACCGCCTCATCGAAGGAGTATGGTATTGGGCCTGGAATGCAAGAAGTGTGTCTTTTATAAGGATAAGAGAGAAGAGCAGGGCTTCCAAGTGAAAGGCATAGCACAAGCGAAGGCAAAAAGACGGGTAACTGCTAGTTATTAAGGGCAGTGACTGAATCGCAATACCCTCAAGCAGTTCTCCACCTAGGGGCCTACGGGCTGCTGAGTCTGCGAAAGTGGCAAAGCAGCCGGCCCGCCCCCGCTCTGCGCCCGTCCCTCGGCCACGCCCATTGCCGCAGGATGACGCACCCCCCCAAGGCCCCGCCCCCGAGGGGAGGGACGCGGGGAAGAGACGCACAGACGCACTTCAGCTGCGGCCAGCGCCCGGGCCTTTAGGCCCGGGCGGCGGCTGCGTTGCGCAGTCTTCATGGGTTCCCGACGTGGAGGCCTCTGTGGCTGCTGCGGCGGCTGCTAACCGCGCCGCCTGCTGCAGCCTGTCACCACCGCTCCGGAGCGGTCGATTCGAAGCCGAAATGCCACCACCCCGGACCGGCCTATGCCTTCTCTTGCTCGGTCTGGTCCTGGGCTCCGTCTGCGTCACCCTGGGATCCCAGGCACAGGCCAACTCGACCACAGGTGACACTCATGCCCCCTCTGCCATTTCGTCTCCATCCATCCTTCCTTCCTTGTTTATATCCATTCTTTTTACTCTCTCTCCCTCCTACCATTCCTTTCATCCATCCATCATTCCTTCCCTCCCTCCATTTTTCACTCCTTCCTTCCCTCAATCCCTCCCTTCTCTCCTTCCATCCCTCCCTTCCCTCCTTCCATCTGTTCATCCATCCTCCTCCTGTCCCACCATACTTCTCTTCCTCTTTCCCTTCATCTTTTCCCCCTCTCCTTTCCTTCTTCCATTAGTTTATCCTTCCTTTTTACCTTCTACCCATTCATATTTCTCTCTTCTCCCCACCTCTCCATCTTTTCTTCCTTCAGCCATTCATCTTTTCCTCCTATTCCTCTATCCAACCATCTGTCCTTCCCTCCATACATCATTCTCTTTCTTCCTAAATTTCTTTCCTTTCCATCGTCTTTCATTCACTATCTCACTCCCTCACCCAGGTTTGAGGCCATGGCCAAAGCCTAACCCTGCCACCCAGGACTCAGGCTTCCTCCTGGAGCCCCACTCCCACCCCTGCAGAGGCACAGCTCCCTCCCTGGCTGGGCTGTTCAGGGGCAGGGTCCAGCCTTGGGCCTCTTAGTACCCTGGTGGTGTCAGTGCAGGTGCCTCACCAAAGCCTCTCCCTCCTGTGTAGATGCTCTCAATGTTCTTCTCATCATTGTGGATGACCTGCGCCCCTCCCTGGGATGTTATGGGGATAAGCTGGTGAGGTCCCCAAATATTGACCAACTGGCATCCCACAGCCTCCTCTTCCAGAATGCCTTTGTGCAGGTATGTCTGAGAACCTCTAGATGTGGATGTGTGCCTCTTCATGTGCTGACGGTTGGGGAGGTTCGGCTATTGTTAGATGGCGAGGATTGTGTGGGACATCTTGTTAGAGGGAAGCATAGTCTGGAAAATGGTGGTTGAGAACATCTGGTTGTCCACTCACGGGAAAGCTTGACCTACAAGGGTGGCTTTCTCCTTGGGTGGAAGGTGTGCCCTGGCTGTAATGTGCTCACGGTAGCCCTGGCCAGCTTTCTCCCAGAACAGGGGCTTGCCTGGTGCTCAGAAGGAAGGGGTGCTGCTGAAGGCCACCTACAGGTCTTCCAACCCAGCCTCAGGTGAGAGCCAGACACGGTGGCTCTGCTCCCTAAACCCTGTCATGAGTCTGCCCCCAGCAACACTGGCCACTCTGTTCCTGTGGAAGCCATTGTGTAGGACGATGAAAGCCTGGGGAGGCCATTGTGTAGGACGATAAAAGCCTGGGGAGGTCATTGCGTAGGAGGATGCAAGCATCTGCTGGGTTGAGGGGCTGATTGCTTCCCTTTCTCTCTCTGGGAAGACTCCGTCTGTTGCCTAGGTAACGCCCAAATCCCAGTGGCTGGTTTGAGAGCTGCATGACTCAGCTACCAAGCTGTTTGCCAGGGGACTCAGGAGGGTGGTTGCTTGGTTACCTAAGAGGTGGCAGACTTATTTTGTTGTGACAATGTTTACCTCTGCTTCACGTTTACCTCTGCTTCTGCTCCCTAACAGCAAGCAGTGTGTGCCCCGAGCCGTGTGTCCTTCCTCACTGGCAGGAGACCTGACACCACCCGCCTGTACGACTTCAACTCCTACTGGAGGGTACACGCTGGAAACTTCTCCACCATCCCCCAGTACTTCAAAGACAATGGCTATGTAACCATGTCGGTGGGAAAAGTCTTTCATCCTGGTACTGCTCCATGTCTGTAGTCTGGCTTCTCTTGTTTCATGGTGCCTGAATCTGGGAATCCCCTCCTGGGCGTGGGGCTGTCTTTGCAGAGCCTCTTCTGGCCGGGCAAGTGCCCCGCTATTCAGTGCTTTCTTTCTAAAAAACCGACAATTTGGCTTCATGTTCTCACCCGAAGTGAAAAAGGATAGAAAGAACTTTGCTTCCTTTCATAAACCACCGAGGGTGTGCTGTTAGGTCCTTCAGCTCCTGGGGTGGTAGGAAAGATGCCGGTAGGGGAGGTGGCAGTGTTGAGTGCAGCCCAGCTCAGAGCCCCACCCGCTTCCCTGCAGGGTACCTTTCAGTAAACCTAGGGGTGGGGTGAAGACACCTGAGGGCCTCCCATGTGGCCATCGATGCTGACTTGATGCCCAGTGAGGGGGCTGTGCTTAGGCGGGGGCTGCTGCCCACTCTGGAAATTAGGTCACAAAAATGAGTGTAATCTGGTACCCAGGATGTATAGGGTGCCAGAGACTTACATTCCTGACCTCGAATGCTGCCTGATAAACTGGCTCTCTTTAATGCCAATATGGGGATAGTGAGAAGCAAACAAACTTTAAAACTTTTTGTTTATAGAAGTAATACATGAGAATTTGAGGAAAAAAAATGGAGAAAAAAGTATTGGAAGACAAGAGCCCCATAAAGACGATGATGCTTATCATTTGGGATGATGATTTGAATGTTTTCAGTAGCTTTTGCTGAGCTCAATGGTTCACTGGCAGGCGTGGTAGCCTTCTACTGGAACTTAGCTGGCCAGCCCAGGTTGAGACTCACATTTAGCTCTACTAAGTCAGGCCAGTTTTGGAGTTGAACCTGTCAGGAGTCCTATTGCACAGTCAAAAGCCCAGTGTCAGGAGAACTTTCTGCAGTCTGGTGTTCTCATTACCACACCCTTTGCCTGAGTGTGGCTGGAGGGCAGTGATGATTTTGGAGAGGAGGAAGCACAGCAGAGGGAGGAGACTGTGATTTGGGAGGGGAAGCCAGGCAAGGACTGAGTGATGTTGCTTGACCTCCTCCCTCTTGATGATTCGATTTTGGCATCAGGTTCTAAGAGCCATGTCCCTCCCAGAGAACAAACCTTTCCCTGCAGCCCTTGTGGGAACACATTTTTTGGCTGAGTTTTTGTTCTCAGGACCTTTTTCTGTTAACATTGGGCCTGCTCCAAGATGGCAGTAGCCAGCACTGAGTGCCAGCTATGTGCCAGTTACCATGCTGGCCACTCCTTTCATCCTCCTAACAGCAAGCAAGGTGGGTTTGTTTTTTTTTTTTGAAACGGAGTTTCGCTCCTGTTACCCAGGCTGGAGTGCAATGGCGCGATCTCGGCTCACCGCAACCTCCGCCCCCTGGGTTCAGGCAATTCTCCTGCCTCAGCCTCCTGAGTAGCTGGGATTACAGGCACGTGCCACCATGCCCAGCTAATTTTTTTTTTTGTATTTTTAGTAGAGACGGGGTTTCACTATGTTGATCAGGATGGTCTCGATCTCTTGACCTCGTGATCCACCCGCCTCGGCCTCCCAAAGTGCTGGGATTACAGGCTTGAGCCACCGCGCCCGGCCAAGGTGGGTTTTTATTATCATCATCATTTCCCAAGGAAGATGTGGAGGCCCATGGAAGTCACGTAGTTTCCAGAGGTTGCAGGGATGCTAAGAGGCAACATCAGGATTTGGAGCTGTGGTTATTGGCCTCCTGTGTGCTCTTTCCACTGGGCTTGCTCTGCTCATAGGCCCTCCACACACTGCCCTCTTTCTGTCTATTCCTGCCTCTTCCGGTGCTCCCTATTGGAGTCCCACTGTGTGACTGCTGCTGATGCCCTTTCTTCCGAGGTTCTGCCTGCAATCCCTTCTACTCCTGGCTAACTGCTACAGGCAGCACTTCCCTTCAGATGCCTCACAGGCCTCAGTGGCTCCTAGAAGTCCTCCCTGCCAGTCCTCACGTGACTCACAATAACCTCTGTGATTGGAGGATCCCCCACTTCGCACTTTGATGTTTTTGAAAGCTGGCAGTCCTTCTTTGGTTTCAAGTGCTGTTATATTGTCTTCCCAAATAAACTGTAAGCCACTAAGCTTAAGGGTGGATTTCTGCTTCATGAGTGAACACTTGAACTTAGAGTTCTAAGACATGGTTTTGAGTCCTGGCTCCCTCAACTAATATTTGGTTAGCATCAAGTAAGGCACAGACCTTGCCTAAGCTTCCCTCTCCTTCCCCCATCAGCTACTTGGTGGTGCCGATGCCTCTGCTGTCTCCTTCATAGGGTGGGAGATAGGTTTCAGCATGGGCTGTAAGGAGCTGGTTGATCTTGTCCTTGTGGGTCCCTTCCACAGAGCCTAGCACAAATTATCAGGGCTTAGGGACCAGGAAGTCAGATGCTAAGTTCTCAAATAGAAACTAGAGAATTTGGCTTTAGAGGGGTCTTTTTTCATCTGGCCTAAGGTCCTGATTTTGTAGATGAGGAAACTGAGCCCCAAAGAAGGGGAGGTTCTACTTGCCTATTTGTTTACAGAGTTTTAATTATGGGGAGTGGGGTGTCGAAAGACTTGTCATGTTTTATTTAACAGCTTTTTTTTTTTTCTTTCAAGGTATATCTTCTAACCATAGTGATGATTCTCCATATAGCTGGTCTTTTCCACCTTATCATCCCTCCTCTGAGAAGTACGAAAACACTAAGGTAAGGCTGTGAAAGTGACATTTCTGAAGAGGAACCACTTTTTTCTTTGTCTGTCAAATAAACTACTGGGTATGCTGCATGTTCTGTGCAGCTGGTTATATACCATGAAGTTGTAGGTTTCATTTGTGATAATGTCTTGACAGAGGTAAGTGTTGGGATCTTTAGCATTAGGCCCAACAGGTGTGGTGGCTTCATTTTAGAACCTGGTGGGTACTACTTGTTCTAAAACCTTGGGCGCTAATGTGTCAGATTCATTTAATGGCTCCCTGGTGCTCACTCTGGATGAGGCTGAGAGTTGTAGGAGATGCTGAGACACAGAAGGGAGAAAAGAGGCCTGAGCTCCAGGAGCCTCTGCCCAGAATGGGAGAAAGGCATGCCATGTGTCTGTCTGACCTAATGTGTATGTTCAGCAGGTGAGACTCTGACAGGGGTTTAAAATTTTTAGAGCATTATGAAAATAAGGAAGCCGCAAAGAAAATCTTGATTTGGAAGAATCCCAAATGTATAAATGAAACTAAAACCTGCCTTTAAGAAACTCAGAAAAGCTGCTGGAGAACTGAGAAGTGACTCGTAGTGCTGAGGTTTTAGTAAACAATATGTTGGGAAGGGTGAGGGTTTGGAGGTAAGGTGGAATGTATTGTTCTAAATTCGTGACAGCTTTGCATTTTAGAACACAGTGAAAACTGTGGGCTTTGGCCTTTGGCTTGTGGCTTGAGTAGGGAAGATCCCATCTTAATTCCCTGAAGCCATCTTGCTCCTTTTTAGTGGCCTCACATACAAATGCCCAGTCCCTGCTGTAATTTCCCCCCTTACCTATTTTTTCTCAAAGTGGCTGGTCTGACAACACTAAATCCCCCTTGAGTGCTGCAAATCATGCATATAGATGAACAAGTGGTCTGAGGTGGGTGCTGGGCTGTCTTGCTCAAGGGTGGGGTCAGCAAGGCAGGGCTGTGAAAGAGCAACATTCTTTTTTTTTTTTTTTTTTGAGACTGAGTTTCGTGCTTGTTGCCCAGGCTAGAGTGTAATGGCACAATCTTAGCTCACCACAACCTCAGCCTCCTGGGTTCAAGCAATTCTCCTGCCTCAGCCTCCCAGGTAGCTGGGATTACAGGCATGTGCCACCATAGCCAGCTAATTTTTTGTATTTTTAGTAGAGATGGGGTTTCTCCATGTTGGCCAGGCTGGTCTTGAAGTCTTGACCTCAGACAGTCCACCTGCCTCGGCCTCCCAAAGTGCTGGGATTAGAAGCATGAGCCACTGTGCCTGGCCTTTTATTCCTTTTTATGGCTGCATAATTGTCTATTGTACCACATTCTGTTTATCAGTTCATCACTTGATGGATATTTGGGTTGTTTCTATTTTTTGACTATTAGGAATAATACTGCCATCAACATTTTTGTACAGGTGTTCTTATGGGCATATATTTTTAATTTTGGGGGCATAATAACTATGTTTAACTGTTTGAGGAATTACCAGACTGTTTTTCAAAGTGGCTCCACTATTTTACATTCCCGTCAGCAATGTAAGAGAGTTCTAATTTTTCTGCATCCTCGTCAACACTTGTTATTTTCCATCTTAAAAAATTATAACCATCCTGTTGGGTGTGAAGTAGTTTTGATTTGCATTTCCCTAATTACTGATGATGTTAACCACATTTCCATGTGCAATTGGCCATTGTTATGTCTTCTTTGGAGAAATGTCTATCCAAATCCTTTGCTCATTTTTAACTGGCATGTTTATCTTTTCATTGTTGAATTAGAGATGGGTTTTTTTTTGATAATTAGTCTACTGGGGTTTCTTTTAATTAGTTATGATCTAGAGAAAGAGTATTAATAGCAAGAAACTAAGTGCTAGTGGATTTCTGGCCCCTGCCTGGAAAACAAGCTGCATTTTTCTGTTACAGTTCTACTTCTGATGTCTCTGTTCAGTCTGAATGACTAACATGGGAGGGCTGGTTATGTGAACATTAAATCAGTGTGTATAGCCTTCATGACTTCCATTTCTTGCATTTAAAAAGCTGATGTTATGTATTTTGTTTTGAAAGACATGTCGGGGGCCAGATGGAGAACTCCATGCCAACCTGCTTTGCCCTGTGGATGTGGTGGATGTGCCTGAGGGTACCTTGCCTGACAAACAGAGCACTGAGGAAGCCATACGGTTGTTGAAAAAGATGAAAACATCAGCCAGTCCTTTCTTCCTGGCTGTTGGGTATCATAAGCCACACATTCCCTTCAGATACCCCAAGGTGAAGAGCTGGCTAAGGGCTGATCCAGCATAGCCGCCACAGCTATGTTGTTTGTTGAAGGAGGGATTTGCACAGGGAAGATGGCAACATCCTGCCATCCCCAGGCACCATGGATGCCTGATGGGCACTAGTGTACTCAGTGGGGTGAAGATGGGATTTAGAGGTCAAAGCCAAGAACATGTAAGAATCTTGTACGAAGCGCTTGGCTTTCCATTCCCTCTGCTGGAGGATTTGCTTTCCTTTCCTTGAATTTATTGAGCACATATTGGGTTGGATAGTGAGATCATCGCAGAGAAGTGAATCGGAGCTGGCTGCCAAAGCCTGTAATAAGGGATACCCTTGCAAAACAGTCCCAGGGAAGGTGAAGCCCTCTTTAAAAACTGCCTTTCCCCCTGAGCCTGTCAGGTTAGATCCTCTAAACACAATGCACTGCATTGCTTCTTGGAACCTCGAATCCTGTACTTGCTTGTATGTCATTTAGAGTATATAGTCTTTTCTATTTTAGAATCTTTTTCCATTTTTCCCTATCATGTTTTATGTGGGCCTGAGCATCCCATCCTTTTGACTTTGCAGAGAATGCTCGTCACTTGTAATGAGAATAGAGACCAGCAGTATGCTCTTTGATGCTGCAAGTATCTTGCTTTGATTGGCCCAGGGGATCTTGCCTTCCTAGCAGGGGGTGTCAGCCCCCTTGATAGAAGAAGGCTATGAGGTTCACCTCTCCTGCCTCTTTGCAGAAAACAGTTAACAAAACTGGCTTGGCTGTGATTCTTTGAAAGGCCTGCTTATAAGTCTAGCCCTCGGCTGGCATCTGGAAACTTTGACTTCCGAAGTGTTTCCACTATTCCCGGAATTGGCTTACTATGCTTAAATGTTTAGACAAACATTGTGGTTGATGCTGAACCCCTGGTTTTTTTTTGTTGTTGTTCTGGGAGCCTGGAATTGTGGTATGTTTCAGACAGACTGCCTACCTGACCAGTCCCAAATAAAAACTGGATGATGAAGCTTTAATGAGCTTCCCTAGTTAGCAGCATTTTACATGTATTGTCACACAACTCATTGCTGGGAGAAGTAAGTGTATCCTGTGTGACTTCCCTGGAAGAAGACTTGAAGCTTGTGCCTAGTTTCCTTTAGACTTTGCCTCATGTGCCTTCTTTCTTTGCTGAGTGTGTTTCACTGTGATAAATCATAGCTGTGAGTGAGGCTAAATGCGGAATCCTGTGAGTTCTATTGAATTACTGAACCTGGGGCTGGTTTTGGGATCCAACACCTCACCATACTTTTTCTAGTTGGGCATGAGGTGGGGACGGGAACAGAAGGGCATCTGTTTGTATGAAGGAAGAAAGTGGTTGCTGCTCAATTTGTAGGAAACAGAAGTTGTATATTTCATTGCCATTGGTATCTCATGAGAGTAACTTAAGGCTGCACTGTCCATGTCAGGGACGAATACATGGGGCATGTGAGTGAGCCACCATGTAAATGCATCACAGGCTTAGAGAAAAGGCAGTAGAGACACTACTAGAGCCACAATCTTGTGCTTTTGCCAGAAGAGTGGCAACCTTGTGGCTTTGTGTTTTTCCCCAAGGAATTTCAGAAGTTGTATCCCTTGGAGAACATCACCCTGGCCCCCGATCCTGAGGTCCCTGATGGCCTACCCCCTGTGGCCTACAACCCCTGGATGGACATCAGGCAACGGGAAGACGTCCAAGCCTTAAACATCAGTGTGCCCTATGGCCCAATTCCTGTGGACTTTCAGGTATCAAGGACATAGTTTGGGGATGTATTGAACACTGATGACACAGTGTCATAGGTGAAACCACTCTTCTTAGTAGACACAACTCCATCTATAATGTCTTATTAAGAGCATTCTTTGTGTGAGTTATCGTGCAAAGTGCTGGGGTGGGGTGTCCTATAGGTATTTAGGACACAGGCAAGGCTGGTGGATCAGGACCCTCTCAGCCAGTGTCTTACCTTACAAAGAAGGGAATGTCCAGAGATTTGGTGACTTGTGTGTAGACACAGAGGTGGGGAAGCAATCTGGGTGACCATTCCTAACCCAGGGGGATACTGTTTAATTCAGGTGACAGCTCATTAATCGTAGAGTGATGGGTAACTCCCAAGCTTAGTTTGGTGGTACTTGCAGGTTCTCTCTGTGGGAAAGCCTACCCTGGCTAGTTGTCACTCTCAGGGGATGGCTTGGTGAGCAGGGCCTTTGTGCAGAGGGAACTGGGACCCCATCATGGCCAGCCAGTACCATCTAGCTGTGATGTCTGCCATTCCTTTGCCATGATTTAGGGGCAGAGCAGCCACACAATTAGAATCCTCACATTGACTCATCAGTCACTCTTTCTCCCTGGAGAGAGCAGAATACGTATTGACTAATGTTCTTTCTGGAATATTCCACACAGAACCCTCCCCTTCTCTTCTCGCATGAATGCTGTGGCAGGCAAGCTATAGTGAATGGAAGATGGAAGTGTTTTCAAAGTGTGCTTCCTGGACTACCTGCCTCAGAATTGCTGGGAGGGCTTGTTGGAAATGCAGAGTCTTGGCTCACTCAGATTTACACAATTGGAAACCGGAGGTGTGGAACCTGACCTGACAACGGACATTTCTAAAACAAACAAACAAACAAACAAAAAACACACCAGGTGATTCTGATGCACTCAGAAGTTTAAGAGCCAGCTATAGTGTATTGTTTAAAACGAACACAGAAGAAAACCACCACATACAGATACCCCTTGCTTTATTAGTGACAGTCACTTAAAATGACCCTTCAGAATGGACTATGTGCCAGTAAGGGTGCCGATTCATTTGTGCTGTTGCCGTTAGTCCTCATGGGGACTTAGTGGAGTACCTGCTCTGTCATCTAGGTGAGGAAACTCAAGGCATGAGAGGTGTGCTGACTTGTCTGACAGCACAAAATTAGTGCTGGGTGGAGCTGATTCATCCCCAGGGACTGTAACTCCAAAGTCCTGTGGTTAGATTTGTTGGTTCCCAGCAGTGTGGGTTTTAATTCATGCGCTACCTCACACCAGCTGCCTAACCTCTGCCAAGTCATGTTACCTTCCTGAACCTCCCTGAGTTTTCTGCTCTATAAAACCAAAACAAGATGGATAAAGTTTTTCCATGATAACATCTACTTTGGAGATTTTCAGCATGAACCAAAGAGCGCACATAGAAGTGTGTAGAACCATGTCAGCTGCATGGAGCGGTCTCTTTAAAGTTCTCTTAGTCCCCTCCTTACTTGGTGGATAGCATGACCCAGAGGACCTTGCTGACACATGCACGTGCTTGTGCCATCCCTGTATTCCCCTTGAACTCAGGCCTGCTCACTGTCCTCTTGCAGCTTTGGATGTCTGCATCTAAGCCCATCTCACTGCACTATTGAGCATCTCAGTTCTAGGCCCTCTCCAGCTCCAGCCTTCTAACTCAGCTCCAGAGGAACCAGTGACCTCAGGGGCCACACTCAGGAGTTTGTTGCCTGCTCCTTCTGAGTCACCATACTAACCACAACCTCTTCTAATACCTTCTTGCTCCACCTCATGGGGATCGCCAGAGTGTGGATTTCTGTGTCCGCCTTGTGTCTAGGGCCTGTTGGCTTTGTTGCTTCCCTGAATTACTAAGGCCTGGTAGTAGGTGACTTACTGTTCTTCCCAGGTGCTCAGCTCACCATACTTCTCCATTTATCCTTGCCCCTGTAATACTCTTATCATTAGACAGTCCAGCGACACTCTCCACTCTGCAGTCCAAGTCTTGAAAGCTGCTGGAGGAAATCCATGCCCCCAGGAAGCAGGGAGGCCCTCAGATGCCCCGCCTCCAGTCCCAGCAGCCCAGGCAAACTCTGCTCAGCTCGTCTCACTGGTCCTCTGCAGCTGCTCTGTTTGCTTGACTTCTTCTCTACTCCCTTTCTCCTCCCCTTCATGCCTTTGCCACCCCGTGCCCATTTCTCAGTGGACAGCACCTTTTCTCTTGTAGAAATGGAGGCTGGTGGACAGCTACAGGGAGGGGCTCGAATGGGATGGGATGGATGTGGGTATGCATCCTGGCTGTTACCCTTATCAGCTTTGTGACTCTGGGCAAGTTAGTTAACGTTTCTGAGTCTTGGAGTCCTTAACGTGCTATTCAGAGGATCAGATGCCACCTAGCATGTACTTGGTGAATGGGCTCTAGTCATAATCTCCGTCACCGAGATCTGCAATTTTGTGTGTGCATGTTCTGGGCTTGAGGCTGCTTCCCTAGACTCCCCACACTGTTCCTGCTTCCCACGTCTGCAATCAGAATGAGCAAAGTCTTCTCACCCACCTTTCCTGCAGCCTCTCCATCTGCTCTCATACCTCTCAGTTGCAAAAGTGCCACCCCTATTGCCTGTGCCTGTTTCTTCTTCCCACTCCATCACCTGACCTCCAAGGCAGAACGAGGGCAACTGGGCTGTTCTGGCTGTGTCTGTGGCCTCACTGTCCATTTGTTCTTCATCCTTCTCTACACATGCTTCCGCCTCCCCAACCCATTAAACTCTCTGACCTCAGCACTGACCTTAGTGGCCAATAAAATCCATCTGTGTGAGTCCTGACCTTCCTTGAGCTTCATGTCACTTTCTCACTGTTGGCCAGCTCCACCCCTTCTGGAACTGTTGGCCTCCCAGGCTTCCTTTTTAGACTTCTGGCCCTCCTCTGCTCCAGGCTCCCTGACAGTCTCCTCTTTCTGTGTCTGCCACTTAGGTGCCATTTCCCAGGCCCCTCACTATGTCCTTTCCACCCCTTCTTCCCCAGCTGGGCTCAGTTGAGCCTTGACAGATGACTTCAGAACTATTTCTTCAGCCCAGGCCCCACTCCTGATTTTCAGATATGTGTGTTCACCTGCCTGCAAGAGCCATTCCCAGGCAGATGACCCTGGAGACCTCAGATCCATAGGCTTCCGCATGGCCAGGCCACCACCCCTGCCCTGTCTTTTCTCCTTCCTTCCTCCTCCTCTTGTTCCCCCTGCCCCCACATGCCAGCAAATTGTGTCACCAGCTGAATGTGAAACCTGGAGCCACCTTTGAGTTCCTCAGCACCTCCTCTTGCTCTACTCCCTGCCCCCATGACTACTTGATCCCCCTAAATTCCTCTCACATCCATACAGTCCTCTGGATCCTTCAGCACATGCTTCTGGACCACTTCAGTGGGTCTTGTTTTCTTTTGTTCATTCAGCAAGTGTGGTGGGCACCTCTTACGTACCCAGCAGTGGTTTAGTACCATTTTGTCTAAAGCGTCTGGAATCTGTGTCTGTGTCCTATTGCAGCAGGACTCTTAATAACTTGTAGCCCAGATTACATCAACTTCTTGCCTTGAGAGACCTCAGTGACTCCATTGACCTGGAACTTGGAGTCTCCACTCTCTGGATAGACCCACTTGGTCTGTATTATCTGGCTTGGACCTAACTTTCCAGTCTGCCCTCCCATTTGATTCTCCAGTCACAGGGGCCTACTCATTGGCTCCAAACATGACCTGCTGTGTTACAACTCCACACCGTTGTGTGCACCACAGCCCCAGCTTGGAGCATCTGAGCCCCATTTGTCTGACTGCAGTGCCTCTTGACCAGTGCTAACTCCTCTGTGAAGCCTTCCCTAAAACTCCCAGTCAATTTGAGGGCTTATTCTCCTGTATCAGCTGTGGGCGTCACCGATTATTATGTATTTTTCTGCCTCCATGATCGTGTCCTCACTGGATGGGTGGCTCATTAAGGGTGAGGACCTTGTCTGCTTACTGCTTTACGTCCAGGGGCTAGCATAGGAAGGAGAGAATACCTTTGTATAGGACACAGCCATCCTGACAGGTATCTTTTGTCCCCAGGAGGACCAAAGTTCCACAGGTTTCACACTGAAGACTTCATCTCCCAGAAAGTATAAGTAGACCAGGATTCAGCATAATTCTGCTAGAAGGCTAGATGTAGATCTTTTCTCTTGACTGCAAGTGAGAAGGGGTGGTGAGAAGCTGGTGGATCCAGCTGATAAGGCAGGGGCTGGTCTGAGAAGTCACGTCTCTCTTCTCACCCCTTGTTGGGGTGTAGGATTAATCTTTGTCCTTAGCATTTGTGAACCAAGCTTGGGATGAGAGCCCAGGAGGGACCAGTGACTCATTTATTTCAGGACATGACCTGGCTGTTCCCAAAGTCCCTCTTGGGTTCGGAGACTATGAAAGATGTGCTGCTCTCTGGTCTTTCCCTAACTCTTCTCCTGCCTACTGAGAGTTTATTAGTAAATGACCTCCGCGTAACAGCTATGGTCTATGAAGATAAGCAGTTGTATCCTGCTGTTGGGTTAGAAAGTGATCAGAGGAAAAGGCTTAGTTAGCATTGTTGTTGTGTGTTAATTTATGAATTTTTTTCCCTGAAAAGAGCTGTTGAAGTCCTAACCCCCTGAGTACCTCAGAATGTAACCATATTTGGAATTAGGGTTATTGCAGATGTAATTAGTTGAGATCAGGTCATATTGGAGTAAGGTGGGCTCCTAATCCAGTATGTTCAGTGTCCTTATAAGAAGAGGGGAGAGACACACATGGGAAGAACACATGAAGATGGAGACACAGAGTAATGCAGCTGCAAGCCGAGGAGTGCCACGGACCAAGGGCCACCACCAGCAGCAGGGAGAGGCAAGATTTTTCGACTTAGTGCCTTCAGGGAGAGAATGGCCTCTCAACACCCTGGTCTTGGACTTCTAGCCTCCAGAGCTGGGAGACAATACATTTCTTTTGTTTTCAGCCACCCAGTTTATGATACTTTGTCATGGCAGCCACAAGAGATTAACAGAGCTGAGCTGTATCTTTGTGACCTTTACCAGAGCATGTGTGGGCCTGTGTTTCTAGGACTGAAGGGATTAGTTTCTGTGTACATGTTTATCTCTTGGAGTCCATCAGAATATGTTAAGGAGACAGAAGGGAACAGTAAGTGACACATTAATCCACTGTGATCTGTGCCCTAAAATGAAATCTGATTTGCTTAGAAATTGATCTTATTTTTAGACCTAAAGATGTTGCTGTGACTCTGTGGGCGAAATGATACAGATGGCAGCAAAAGGAGTGTTATGTCTTGACTGAGAAAATCATTAAGGATATCAACTAAGTGGATGGGATTGAGAGAGATGCTCAGGCAAGCATTGTATCTGTATGCCACAGCAATTCAAATTGCAGTCACTCTCATTATTTCATTGTCTTAATTTGCAGCGGAAAATCCGCCAGAGCTACTTTGCCTCTGTGTCATATTTGGATACACAGGTTGGTCACCTCTTGAGTGCTTTGGACGATCTTCACCTGGCCAACAGCACCATCGTTGCATTTACCTCGGATCATGGTAAGCCATTTGAAATTCCCTGGTGACTCAAAGTATCTGAACTTTCCTTTGAAACATCCTTTTCCAAATTGCTATTGCCATAAACATGGGTATGTTCTCTTTTGTGAAACAGTGGTGCCTTGAGTCTGGGATCCTGGGGCATTTTTATGATCAACTTGTTAGTCCTGCTTGAGACCTCTACCTTAGACACTTGAGGAATAGGTGTGGGTGGGCCAGGGAGGGGCTTGTAGAAATTTTTTTTTTTTTCTTGGTGAATGCAGCAAGAACCCTCCATTTGTGTGGCAGAGCTCTTATAACCCCCAATTTTAACCTGGAGGGTTTGGAGAATTTTAGTTTGCATGGAGACGATCCGGAACAATCCTGGCAGAGCCCAGCAAGCTCTTCAGGCCTGGCTCCAGCCGTCCCACCCCTATTCCCACTGTCTTCTCTACCGAGAGCCTAGGCTTTTCATGTCTTTATCTCCTTTAAGGCTGTTTCCTTCTTTTCCAAAATGGAACTATCTTTTTAAAAGCATTTTTTAAAATTCTTCCACACTCCAAGAGTAGAGAATAAAACAGCAGCTCCCCGGTTTCCCACTCACATAGTCTTGTTCCTCTTATCTTCACCCACTTCCCCATCTCCCAATTGTTCTGAAGCAAATCCCAGATGGTTCCATTTTCTGATCACTCTCTCTGAAAAACATTGCCTCTTTTGAAGGATAACCATAATACTGTTATCATACTTAGAAAAAGAAAAAATAATTCTTTCATTTCATCAAATTCAAAATAGGATACCAGTAAATCATAACATGCTTATCATAAAAAGAAAAAAGGAGACAGATCATATAATCCAGGTCAGCACATCTTGCCCTTTTCTCCCACCTGCTCAACGCTAACAGATGCCAATGGATTAGGGCTCCATCTACCAGCCTTCAGTCGTGCACTTATGCACACAGGGATATGCATTATACATGTGTATGTTTGTAACATGTATATCACTGGGTGTACTGTTAACATTCCCTGGTTTTGTACACTTAATGTCATAGACAATCTCTGTATCATTTCTCAGAAACCTACTTTTTCCTTGTAAAGGTCTACAGTATTTTATTATATATAGAGGTGGCATAATTTTTCACATATTCCTGATGATCTGCCATCTGCTTCTGACCCCTCAGTGCTCAGTTTCCTTTTCTCCATGAACAGACTCTAGTTGTGAGGCAGCTGCCGTAGATTACAAATAGCCCACCTCAGAGTCCCCTCCTGGGACATACTCCATCAGAACTGCCTGGGAGCTAGTAAAACATGCTGGTTTCTGCACGTGGTCTCAGAAGCTTGCACTTCTGAGCATGGGAAAATGCACTTTCAAGTGTCTCAAGTGGTCTGGCCACCTCTCCTCAAGCTCGCCATTCCCTGGGCCTCCCTGTGTTGCCACGTCCTCATCTCGGGCCTCTGGGGCAGGAGCCAGAAACCTCCTGAGCTGCCTGTCAAGGTCATTGGGCTCTTGTTCCTCCTGATCTCAAGATGGATCCTTGGGGCCCACACAGGCACATGTTCTCCTTAGCCAGAGTTTCCCCTGTATTTGCTCCTGGCTGCAGCAGCACAGGCTGAGGCCCAGCACGAGATAAGTCAATGCAATCTTGCAGTCAGGCAGTTCACAGCTATTTCTGCAGCATGTGCCATGTGCTAGGCTCTGTGCCGGGCCTGGGGGCCACCTCTACCTGGTGCAGGGCAGCTCACAATAGCTGACAGAGGCCGAGGTCTGCCTGCCAGTATTCAGAGTGCCAAAGAGTGCCCGACTCCTGTACCTTCAGAGCCTCCACGGGTGCCCCAGTCAGACTTCTGGGGATAGATTCCTGAGGTCCCACTGCTGGGGTCCCTCACTTTGCCATCCTGCAGGTTCCTCAATCCTCGACCTTTTAGATTCCCGCCACACTGACTCTAAAAGGGACAACGTGACCTCTAAGCTGGTGCCCTAGGAGCCTGCCTACAGCCTACCCGTTCATCAGCCCTGGTGGGTCAAGGCTGCCTCATCCTCCCGGAGAGAGTGGAGAGGTCGAGAAGTGGGGCTACTCCTAGGCCCACAGGGCTGACTGACTGGGGTGGGGGGAACTCCCTCTCTCCCTGAGCTCCACTGAGCTATCTGAAAATTCCCACTGCAGTCCCCAATACTGACAGCCAGAGAGAGGAAGTGTTCACCACAATCACTGGGCATCTCTGACGGGTATCAAGTCTGCTTTGATTATTGATTGGTAGGTAAGAGCTTCCTCTCGACTTGGGGTCTTCTTAGGAGAGCACTGTCAACTCAGAACAGGTTTTAACGCTGTTCGGGAGACCACAGACCCTGGGAGGCTGGGACACCATTTGCAGCCCCAGCGTCATCTGTTACGTAGAGCCAGCAAGGTCTCATGCTGCACGGTATATTTCAACACTTTCTCTAATTTACCCTTGGCAGCCATTGGTATGTTTGGTTATTTTTACAACACTACTCAGTGTCCAATTTCTGTCATGCACATTTTTTGTATCAAAAAGGGTGCTGTAACTTTAAAAGACTGGTCATTTCCAACTTGGAGTATTCAAACCATCTTTTGTAAGGGATGTTTCAAATAGGCCGGAAGGATTGTTTTCAATTGGGGTTAAGGATCTGGAATCAGAGGTTTTGGTTTACTTTATCTATGGTATGTCTTAAAAATCAACCAGGATGTCCTTGGCTGTTTTGAATTTGATGATTGTGTTGCAGTTCCGCAGCTCAGTTTTAGGTGGCACATACCCGAAACTGAAAACTTGACCTCTTAGGGAAGGAGTCAAAGATCGGTAAGTACAGGACAGGGCAGTGGTGACACTACAGATTTCAGGGTTCCCACCCGGTCAAGAATGAGTGTGTCTCAGCAGCGGGGGCATATCTGCGTGGGGACCACCTCGGAGACCAACATTACGCATTTGTTGCTAGTAGTGTGTTCAGATATTTGGGTTTGGGAATTTAATTATGTTTTCTTTTTTTAAAGTTTCCTCATTGAGGACAAATAGCTGACTTTGAATAAAGCAGCATTCAGCTGAGATCACACTTTCTGTGGTAAATCCAAGTGAATTTTTTTTCTTCTAGGTGATGAGTTTCTACTCCCTCTGGTTTTTACAACAGGAAGTGAAATGGTTTCTAAAATAAACAAGCTGTGGTATGATGATTATTCATTTTCTATGATTCTGTGCTTTTTATGAACTAGGGTGGGCTCTAGGTGAGCACGGAGAATGGGCCAAATACAGCAATTTTGATGTTGCTACCCGTGTTCCGCTCATGTTCTACGTTCCTGGAAGGACAGCTTCACTTCCGGAGACAGGCGAGAAGCTTTTCCCTTATGTCGACCCTTTTCATTCCGCCTCAGAGCTGATGGAGCCAGGTATCAAATATGCTGAAATGATTGTGCTTGACAGCAAGAGTGCCTTTACTTTATATGTGAACCACTTTATTGACTCACAGGCTGAGGGGTTACACAGACCCCCCTTCCTGCCTTGTGTTGGAATTTCTTCTCAACATTTTGTGGTCAGCACATGCTTCCTGAGCATCTCTCATGCTCTGGGTGAGGAAAGAGTGACAGAACTAGAACTGACAAGTATGGCCCCTGTCCACAAGGAGCCTTGTGGGGTGATGATGGACAAAGGATCAGGTGCATCCCCAAGATGGGGAGGGCTGTAGTACAGCTTACAGGAGTCTGCTCCAGAGCTTAGAGGAAGGGGCTGCCCCCATAACGGATGAATAGAATCCTTTTCCTGGCTACACCCTTTTGGTAGGGACTCAGCCTTCTTTGTGGGGGGTACATTTTCCATTTTGACAGCTCATCAATTTGGTGAACCACTGGATCTGTGAAATCTGCTAGGTGATTCTACCCTGCCCTCCCCAGCAGTGAAGGACAAGTTTCCTTTGACTTCCATGTGCCAGTCCTTCAAAGCTTTGAAAACAGCAGTGACGACCTCTGCCCCATCCCTCCACCAATACTTTCTCTTCTCCAGGCTGGAATCCCCAGTCCTTCACCTATTTGTCACAAGGTAGTATTTAGACCCGTGGTTGTCCTGGTCTCCGTCTCCCAAAAAGTTTCAGTTTGAGAAAGCACTTCCAGAATATCACTTGGACCAGATACCCTTCCTGGATGGTGTGGGCAACCTGTGTGAGTTCTTGTGAGTTCTATGCTGACTCGATCTTCCCAGTGCATTTCAGAGACAAGCTGTGTACTATCTCTGAAATAATGTATGACGTTTGCTCTTTTTGGAGTGCCTCTTCTATGAACCACGCTAAACCAGGTTGCCCCCTTTCTGGACTTAGGCATTTAATCCATCCTTAACATCTAAATCCTGTACTGTGTATTGATTCCTATTTAAATTTGTCTTGGTTCTGGACCATCATTCTGGCCTTCTGGATCTTTCTGAACTTGCTTTGTACTACCCAATTTTACTTTCTGCACAGTTGATTTGTGTGCACTGCATGCCCCTGCCTTCTTTCATGTCGTTGATAGAAAGGTTAACAATTTCAAGGCATGATGTCAGCCCTTTGTTTGCTGGGAAAGATCTTCTGATTGGTTGAGAATCTTTTCTACAACTTTTTTTGGGAAGTGTTCAGCAATTTAGAAAGTTGTGTAACTGTACTGCCTTTCGGTTTATTTCCAAATTTTATCTCTAGCCTGTATCTTTTCCCTGAACTTCAGACTTTTGTTTCCAACAGCCTTTCCCGCTTGGCCAGTCTAACATGTCCAGAGCTACACTTCACATCTTGCATCTTCAGCCTTTCCCTCAACACTCTTCTTGTCCTCAAGAAATGGGACTTGTGACTCATGCCAACAATATCCTGGAATCATCTCAAACCCTGTTTTTCTCTTACTCCGTACGCAATAGTCAGTCTGTGAGCAAGCCAGTGACTCCATTCAGACTCTGTGTGTACCACTTCCCACCACTTCCCCTGCCACCGCCTTGGTCCAGACTGCCGCCATCTTGTGCTGACGTACTGTAACAGCTTGCTAAATGGTCTGCTTGCTTGTGCCCTCGATCCCCTTTAGGTTTTCCACCTCAGAGCAGCCACAGTGATCCCATTAAAACCCAAGTCAAGTCATGTCACAGCCCGGCACCGGAGCCTCTTATGTTTCTTTCTCGGTCTGGGTAGAAGTCGTCACAGTGGCCTTCCGTGTTCTGGCTCCATTATCTCCCTGACCTCATCTTTTTATAAGTATCCAAGCCAGGTGTCTTATACAGCGTCCCACAGCCTGGATTCCTCCCACATGACTGCATTCAGGGTAAACATTTTTGACACGTGTACTACATAGGCTGTTGTATTCTCCCATCGTATCACATTGGGGGACACTTCATGGCTAAGATGGTAAATTTTTTGGTGTGTGTATTTGACCATAATAAAAAGAAAAGATGAATCTAATGCAGATATCCAGAGGGGAGTAATGTGTGGGGTGATCCTGTGAATTCAGAATATTCTGTTTCTCAACATACTTTTGTACCCAGTGGTTTTAGCCTTAATTGATGATCCTTGCCTGAATCAGTTACGACATTGGTGGTTCCAAAATTCAGGTTGTTTTTAAAAATGCCAGCACGCCGTTGGGACCTTAATTTTGCATCCTGCTATTTGATTGGATGAGTAGTCAATGCAGGGTAAGGTGCTGAGGTGGTGGTGTTTCTAAACATCTGTTGTTTAAGGTAAATGTAAATTAAAAAAAGAAAGCATGTGGTGCCCAGATAGTTTCTTTACTGATCCTGGCTGGCCAGGGCATGCTTTTATAATGTGACCCATTCCGCTCTGTCACTTCTTGTTTCAGGCAGGCAATCCACGGACCTTGTGGAACTCGTGTCTCTTTTTCCCACGCTGGCTGGACTTGCAGGACTGCAGGTTCCACCTCGCTGCCCAGTTCCTTCATTTCACATTGAGCTGTGCAGAGAAGGCAAGAACCTTCTGAAGCATTTTCGATTCCATGGCTTGGAAGAGGATCCATACCTCCCTGGTAATCCCCGTGAACTGATTGCCTATAGCCAGTATCCCCGGCCTGCAGACTTCCCTCAGCAGAATTCTGACAAGCCGAGTTTAAAATATATAAAGATCATGGGTTATTCCATACGCACCGTAGACTATAGGTATACTGTGTGGGTTGGCTTCAATCCTGATGAATTTCTGGCTAACTTTTCTGACATCCATGCAGGGGAACTGTATTTTGTGGATTCTGACCCACTGCAGGATCACAATATGTATAATGATTCCCAAGGTGGAGAACTTTTCCAGTCGTTGATGCCTTGAGTTTTGCCAACCATGGATGGCAAATGTAATGTGCTCCCTTCCAGCTGGTGAGAGGAGCAGTTAGAGCTGGTTGTTTTGTGATTACCCATAATATTGGAAGCAGCCTGAGAGCTAGTTAATCCAAACATGCATGAAGAATTTGGCCTGACAATATGTAACAACCAAACCTTTTCATTTAGTCTTTATTAATTTATGCTTGGCAATTGGACCAGTTTTTTAAAAAAAATTCCCTCTTTTTAAAACAGTTACAGCTTATTTATTGAATAAATACAAAGTAAACAAACTCAAATTATGTCATTTATACCTTTGAATACCAAGACCATATGTAATAACCAAACATAGCATTCTACACAAAGAATACTTTGATTATTTGTGGAATTGACTGCATTTCAAAAAGTAACCATATGTCAAACTAGGCACCAAAATAAGTTCCTGATTATTTTATTTATAATTTAATAATAAATCTTATGTAGCCCAATATATTCAAAATATTATGTTAACATGTAATCCATGTTTCTTTTTCAAATCTAAAGTTAAAACAATACCAGAAGCCAATGTCTTAAAGTCTGTCTTTTATTTTTGTTTTTAAGACCATGGGGCTTCAAAATGTACAGATAAAATGTGTATGAAGTAATTAATGTAGAATTTGTACATCAAATAATAAATAATGCTCAATAAACTATAGAGATATGAGATGTGTAGGAAATTTGGTTAAACTTTTTTCAGATACTTTCTGGCCCAAATAATAATTTGTTAGCAAATAATATGACCCTTGAACTCAATGGCCATCTATTAAAAGACTGTTGTTCACAGTGGAAAACATTTGAAGATATAACTATATCCATGGGTGGAATGAGTCACTCAAAACAGTATTCTTCTTTAGGGATGGTTGATTGCAGATGTGTTTATTCTGGAGGCAGAAAATATCCTACTTTTAATTGCTTATTTAAGAAAACATTAAATTCTAAATTATTTTGAGGACTGTTAGACTTTTCATTAGTATAATATTTGGTCATTTTCAACCTGTCAGAATGTAGTTCTATATTCTCTAAATATGAAAGCATCCAGAAAGGCCAGTGGTAGTAAAAAGCTTAGTGTATATAATCTTAAAAGAGATGGAATATTTACAATTCATTAACATGTTTAAGCTTATCAGGAGTCATCGGAAGTGTCAACAGCTTTCTAAATAAATATTAAATATCTAATGTCCTGTAGTGAAGGAGTAATTTTTAGTAATTTTCTCTTTACAGAGTCTTCAGTGTTTCCAGGTAAATGTGGGTGAAACAAAATACAGCAAACTATATTAGGTTACTGCAGTGTATTAATTGTTACCAAAAATGACAAGATATTATATTAAATCAGTAAATTTTAGAATTTTAAAATTAATTAGCCTATAATAGAGGTATACATGGTAACACAGTGATCTTCTAAGCAGTTAGGTGACTGACTATTCTGGCAACAATTTCTTCATGACTGAAGGGCCCTGTTCATCTCCTGATCCTGAAGCTTGTGTCTCTTTTGGAAGCCTCGACTTTCTTTGGTCGATGGTTTCCCTCAGCTTTTTCTTTGTTGTTCTTCATCCTCGTGATTGCTATCATCCTGTTCAGTGTGACTTTTGACATATTTCAGTGCATTCGTCTTTATCGCCTACTCCATAGTTCCTTACCTTGGCTTGGCTTAGAGAAACCATATCTTTGTGGCTTCATATAACCTTTCCCCAACCCCACTGAGCTGTACATAACTTTTTATTGGTCTTCCAGTTACTTTATTTGTACAAATCTCTGTTTCATTTGAGGAGGGGTTCTTTTGTATGGTTTAGCTGACAGCAGAACTAGAGACATTTTGAATGGCCATCGTTCAGTGGCTTACAAACATGAGGGAGCATCAGAACTACTTTTTTGAGGGGCTTGTTAAAACCCAGTATGTATGAGGCCAGACATGGTGGCTCATACTTGTAATCTCAGCACTTTGGGAGGCCGAGGTAGTTGGATCATTTGAGGTCAGGAGTTTGAGACCAGCCTGGCCAACATGGTGAAACCCTGTCCCTACTAAAAATACAAAAATTAGCTGGGCATGGTGGCACACGCCTGTAATCCCAGCTACTTGGGAGGCCCATGCAGGAGAATCGCTTGAACCAGGAGGTGGAGGTTGCAGTGAACCAAGATCATGCCACTGCATTCCAGCCTTGGTGACACAGTGGGACTCCGTGATTTTCTTTGGAGACTCCTAGATTTTCTTTGGATTTGAACTGAATTTGTTGACTCCTGGCAAGTTCCTCCTATGAGCTGTTTCTTTACCCTTCATTTTCCCCACAAAGACTTACCTGGAGGTGAGCAAAGTATGTTTGGTATGGAAGTCACTAAGGCAGTCAGCCCCTTCCTCCCCACTTCCATTACCATCTTCTCAGTCCTTTTCCCTTTCTTTCCAAGTAGTTGACCCACCCCTCCTCTTTCCTCCCCTGTCCCTAAAAGAATCCATGTGTCTTCCTAAAATCTCTCTTTGATCCTATCCTTTAATAACACCGTCAGTGCCTACTACTGGGTCTAGACAGACCTCTGCTGAGCAGTCAGAGTCTTCCCTGACTCCACAATGCCCCTTTCCTTGGCCGACCAGTGTGACAACTGGTCCCCACCTTTCCCTTGCCTATCCCTGCCTCCCTCCTACTAGGTTGTCCCTTCCTTCTCTTCACCCATTCATTCATGACCATTCTTCACTACCGGGCTTCCCCTCCAGCCCTTCCAAAGGAGGCTGAGGTTTTTGTGACTCTCTAGACTGTATTGTGGGATGGAATGAATGTTGCTAGAGAATGTTGTGTTCACTTTACTTTAAATAAGTATTTCTTTCCTAATTATAAAATTGATGTGTCAGTTATGGAAAAATTAAAAAATAGAAATGCAGGACAAATACATGAATATTGTCAGTAAATATCTTGTCTTTTTTGGGGGTGTGAATTTTTTGCGTTGTGATCATATTGTGTTCTTTATCATGCAATTTATGTTCTTTTTTCACTATTACATGTGTTTATTACAGATTTTCACAAAGATACTTTATATTGCTGGTAATACATTTTATTGTGTAGTCTTAACAATTTACTTAACTTTCTTTCAGTTATTAGAAATTTAGGTATTTCCAGATTTTCCGTATTGTAAATAATGCCGAGTTGCTCAATTTTGTGAAGAAAATGTTTTTGTGTATTTCAGTTTATTCTCTTAGTATAGTCTCTCAGTGCCAAGTTGTCAAAACATCTCTCTTTTGCTTCTCTTCCTGCTCTCTTGCTGCCTTAGTGGGTAGTAAACTGAAATATAAAGTAAGCATGCATACAAATAAAGAAACAAAAATAAGTACCCTGATGGTAATAGGTGAAAGTGGTAACCTGTTTTAACTTCTCATTCTTTGAGTATTAGTGACCTTGATCATAGTTCTCTTTGTACGATGGTTGGGCATTTGTATTTCCATTTGTGTGAAATTGCCTTTAAATTTTGGTTATGGGTTTCACATTTTAATGTAATCAAACAAATTGATCTTTTCCTGTGTGATAGTTTTTTCTGTATCTTTTCCTGTTATACACACAGACCCCTTCCCATCTGGAGATTGAATAAATATTCATTTTTCTTTGCATTGTTTGTGGTTTGATCTTATAGTTACTGTGTCTCTCCACCCTATTATCAGAGTAACAAATGCTTCTTGCATAAAATCTGGAACATGTGAAAAATGAAGATGAAAAGCCCACCATTTGAGACATAGCCACTGTCGAGATTGGTGTATTTCCTTTCACTCTTTTACCTGCCTACAGACATATACGCAGATGTGGACATACTTAGCTTTACATAGCTGCAGTCTACTCGTATATTCTGTATCTTGCTTTTTTGATCTAACATAAAAGCAAGATATGGTTAGCTTGTTTTTTTTTTATGTTATTGACAGTTCTTGGTTAACAGCTGTAATGGCTGCACAGCTCTGCTTCATTCATCTTTGTTTTTTTTTTTTTTTTTTTTTTTTTTTTTTTTTTGGGCCACCTTCTCCTTATCCATTCATCTACCAATGGCCACTTGAGTAGTTTCTACCTTTTGGCTCTTGCAATAATGCTACTGTCAACAAGGATGTACAAATATTTGTTCAAGTCCCTACTCTTAATTGTTTTGGGTATACACCCAGCCTGCCGTGCTCTTGAATTACTTAAAATGTTGGGGTTTGTGCTGGGAGGTAAGCCAGGTGACTCTGGAGCAGCCTGACCTTGGCTACAGAGGGAAACTGACTGTTCTCTCTCTGCCTAATCTTACTGCCGTCTGTCAGGTTTCCAAGCTGTTCATCCCTGACTGTGTGAAGGACTTTGGGTATAAACTACCAAATAGAGGCTCAGCTCCTTTACCTTTCCCAAGTCCATCCTGCATGTTAGAGCTCTTCAAAGGAATCTCTTGAATTCTGGCCTGGGATTTGGGGTTAAACTAGAACCCAGATTCTCCCTTTGGCATCTACCATTGTCCCTTTGGGTCTTAGGGATAGCCCGTTGTGGTGGAACCTGCCATCAGCCTCACTGCACTCAGTGGCCCTTGGTTCTCCAGAACAGTTTCTCTCTTCTGCACATGAGAACTTGAACCAGGGAGGATTGTCATTAATTGGTGCCTTCATAACACCTATCATTTGGCCATCATGAGCTAGAGTTCTCACTGCTCTTGGGTCTTGCCTTTCCACTTGTTACTGAAAGCTCCTGTTGGTGTCTCTGTCCGCCAACTCACCTGATGGGGCTTTCCTCTGAGTGATAAAACACAGTCTGATGTGGAGAGCCCACACTCAAGGGTTTTCTTTGGGGTCAGAGTTTCCTTGCTGTTACTCCAGGTCCTGCCTGAGATCACTGTCATGTGTGATGCTAATCACCAAAGAATGCCCTTGTTTGATTCTGGATTCTAGGTGATAGTCCGTTTCCTCTGATGGCGGAAGAGTTTGAGTGGGAGAGAACAAACGTGACAAGTTGGCTCCAGATGATGTGGTGGATAGGAGCCAACTCTCAGGTACCTGGCTCTGAGTAATGTGACAGCGCAGGCAGGAGGGGTCCCACTGCCAATGAGGAACAAAAGCTTGAGGTCTAGTAATGTATTCCACACAGGCTAGGAAGCAAGAGTTAGGATGAGGACAAGAAGAGGAGCAAAGGCCAGGGGTTAACTGCTTTTTGTTTTTCCTCTATAAAAGTCAGGGACTATGATTTATGTGGGTAAGAAGGTTTGGAGCAGGACTGAAGCTGCCATTTACAAAATCCTTGCCCTAATTTATTGTAGTTTTGGGTGTGTTTCCGAAAGAACCTTTTGCAGGTGATTTTTATTCAGTACTCGTTAGCTTAACAGATTTTATGAATTCATTATCTTCTACATTATTGAAAAACATACCTTTGTGTTAAGTACAACATGAGTTATTATGTGAAGAAATCACATTAAATTAACCATTATCATTGTGTGTGCAGTTCTTGCTGCTGTTTTGGGACCACTTGATGATGCCTTAAAACAAATGAAGCCATTTAACAGATCTTGATACCGCAGTACAGGTTTGTCCCCCTTAAAGTATCCAACCTGTTCGTCCCCATGTGAGGCCAAGGCAGCTGTGGTGTGGGTTTTTGGAAAGGAGTTGAATTCTTGAGGGTAGATGGTAAGCTGCACTTGACCGTAGACACTTTTCTGGGCAGTGTTATATCTCTCAGCTTGCCCTGCAGTTATAGTACAGAGACTCCCCACAAAGAGGAAGTGGGCTGACTAATCAGGTAGGCTTAGAGAAACCATATGTGCAATAGCAACGAGGTAAAGATATTAAATTTGTGGGTTCTTGGGGTCCCAACTGGAAATTTGGGACCCTAGGCAAACCACTGGCTTGCTTAGTGCTCTTGGCCTATTGCCTTGTGAGCCTTAGTTTTATCTTTTTCTACCTATCCTATTGGTTTTGACTAAAGATTTGGAAGGCAGTCCCTCTTCTATTGGTGAGGACATTGGAAGACATATATTTCCAAATAGATCAGGGCAGGCTGGAATAATTGAGTAGAACTCAGCAGGCGAAGTAACTTCAATGTATTCATTTACTGGCTTATTTATTGTGTAAGGTATGAAGTTTAAAAGGCACAAACTTATGGGAGGATTGCTTGAGGCCAGAAGCTCTTGGACTAGCCAGGGCAGCATACCAAGACCCCCATCTTTACAAAAAAATAATTTTTTAAAATTCGCTGGGTGTGGCGGCATGGTACTTCAAGTCCCAGCTACTCCTGAGTCAGACGCAGGTGGATCACTTAAGCCTGGGAGTTCAAGGCTGCAGTGAGCTCTAGTCATGCCACTGCACTCTGGCCTGGGTGACAGAATGGGACCCTGTTTCAAACAAAAAAAGGCACAAACATGTATACAATGAAGAATCATTTTCTCTTCCATCCTGTTCCCCAGCTACCCTATTATCTTCAGAGGCAAGCATACTTACCAATTCTTGGAACTGCTGAACTTTGAAAAGGATAAATGGAGGCCTAACAGGCAGGCCCCAGGACCAAGGTGCTAGGGAGGGGTGACCCAAGGGAGCAGTATTGCACATGCAACCCTTTCACATTGTGGCCAACAGCTCAAGATGGGGGTGTTGTGTGATGTGGCTGCCAGGAAGTGAAATTCATCTCAGACTACATAAATGGGTATTCAGGAGGAAGGAAGGGGTAAGCTGCTCTGCCTATGTGCCACCGTCAGCCAGCACCTGGAGAATTGTGTTCAGTGGTAAACACGGAGCTGTCATGGAAATGTGGACAAACAGGAGCATGTTCAGAGGACAGCCCTAAGATGGGTGAGACCCAGCATGTCATGTGAGGAAAAGTTGAAGGAGTTTTCAAATGGGGAGAGAGAAGACTCTGGGGTGGGTAAAGGTAGCGGGTTGCCGGGGAGAATGTGGCACTATCCTGAAATTTCTAAAGAACCATCAGAGGTAAGAGAGATTAAACACGCTATCTAGATCCCCAGGGGAAGACCCGGTGCTGGACCCTGCAAGGATACAGATGGTCATTCAGAGGTTGAACTTTCTAACATAGCAGCTTACCATTAGAGGAGCCTGCTCCTAAGTGTGGCGAGCTGTTATCTGAGGTATGTAAGCATCACTTAGGCAAGAGGTTCTCATAGGGAGCAATTCTTCTCTTGGGGCATTTGTCAGTGTCTAGGGTCATATTTGGTTATCACAACTGGGGAAAGGCTCCTACTAGCATCTAGTGTGTAGAGGCCAGGGATGATAGGAATCACACACAGAGAGCACCACCCCCCTTCAACAATACAGAACTATCTGGCCCAAATGGCAGTAGTTCTAAGGCTGAGAAACCCTAACATAGGCAAACATTTGCTAGAGAAACAAAAACTACTAAAATTTCCCCTTTCTCCAAGACTTTTATGATTGGGGAATGCACGGTCAATTTTTAAAATAGCTGGCTGACTATGTAAGGTGAGTGGCCCTTTGCATGTAGCCTTGAAAACATTTTTAATGATTGCAAGGAGCTTTCAAATAAAGGTGAATATTTAAAAACAAACCGTTTTATGTAGTGGTAGTAGATTGCATTTATCTTTCTTCCTGTTTGGTGGAGAGACTCTCCCATCTCAGTTTCCTCTCCTATAAAAGAAAGTTAATTAGGTGATTTCTTTTAAAAACTAATATTGCATTTTTCCTTTGTTGAAAAAGTATTACATATTCATCACAAAAAATTAGAAAAATATACAAAAGCAAAGAAAATTATCTGACACCAGTGTTTCCTTGGCTTAGGGATCCTTCCTCTGAATTATATATATGTATGGATCATACTCTGTGTCGTATTGGTTTTTCTACATCCTGTTTTACAACCTGGCTGTGTGGTGGCATGGGACCTCTAGTCTGCTTTTCACACTGCATGATTTCCCCAATTCCAAATTTCTATGACACACACATTGGAAGAATTTCTATATGAACATGTGAGGCCATTTCCTGGAAGACAAAACTAGAAACCTGAGTTTCCTTCCTCTCCCATGACATCTAATGAATGTGAATGTTTCCACAAAAGTTAATACTGAGGCTGCTGCTCTTCCTAGCCTTGAGTTTCATGACTCTTTTTGCTCACAGCGGGGCTTGGATAGCTCAGAAACTCTATGGGATAGAGATATCCACCACCAGACCTGTGGATTTTACCTCTTTGTGTATCCATGTATCCGTGTGATACATGGATCCACTGATACTTTGTGTATCAGTGTATCCATCCAGGTTTCTCCCCTCTCTGGGTACCATTCTGAAGCCATCTCCTGTCACTTGGACATGCAACTGCTTCCTAACTGGTTTCCTCTTGCTACACTGCAAACAAGTTCACACAGTTCTGAATATGATCTTCGCCAAATGGGAACCTGATTGTGTCACTGCCTAACACTTGTACCACCCTTCTCTCTCTCCTCCCAAACATCACAATGGCTTCCCATTACTATGAGGACAAGCAGAAAAGTCCTGAACCTGCCCTTTGTGTAGACCCTTCATGGTTTGGCCCCTGCTGACCTGCCACACCTCCTTGTTTTAACTCCTACTCCATCTCCAGGGCCAACTTAACCCTTTCTTCCCAAGGACATCCTTCCCTGATGCGTTTGACGAGGTTGCATAGCAGATTGCAT